GAATGAATGAATGAATGAAGAAATGAATGAATGAATAAAAAAATAAATGAATGAATGAATGAATGAAGAAATGAATGAAGAAATGAATGAATGAATAAATAAATGAATAAATGAAAAAATAAATGAATAAATGAATGAATTAATGTACGGAGTCGTCATGGAGATAACGCTAAGACAAATCTACACTAGTTAGCGAGAGCTGGTGAAGGCTAACCCTGTGCTGCATGAGTATGTGTGTAGTCTCCTCATCACTGTGACCGGCATGTGCGCTGATGCTGTTGTCACTGCTACTGCTGCTGCTGCTGCTGCTGCTCGAGCACTCATCGTCCAACCTGCTCTCACCTGCAAGGCAACACGGCAACACATTATAGAGTCGTTGTCATGGAAACCAACGGTATAACCTCTGTGCAATGCAAATTGCTGTTTTATCGAGAATTTAATTCGTTTTGCACACACTTACGGAAATAAAAGCAACACCGATATCTGCGCCTCAACAAAGTGCATATGTGAACAAAATGTTATGCTCGTACCAAGGGGTGTCTAAAGCTAATCAAATAGCGAAAGATTGCAATGACTCCATTACAATTCGTCCTGCCTCCCTCTTTAGTTCCTGATTTAACAATATTTTGCGAGAGATTTCATCAAGCCATCACTAGATAAATGTTCTACCTGCCAGCTTGCTGGGTGTATGCACACTGGATCCTGTTGCCCACATAAATTTGATGATGGCCGATGCTAAGTAAAGTGTCTGCAATAAACGTTTACACATGTTTAGATGACAAGTATAATGTATTAAACGCAGCTGCCAGATTACATAAATGCACGAAACTACAAAGCTGGCATGGTCACACGTGTATTCTTAGACAGCTGGTTTTAAACTTACCCGGAATCTTTCAAACTGTTTTGTATATTTCAAGTGCATGACTTGCACAAGAGACTGCTGTAACCAAATGCTGTGCAACACGACTTTAACAATGCAAAGTTTAACTTTTCCTGATGACGTTACTGCTGGGTAGCCAACCCCTTACCAACAACCACTCACACCACCGTACCCCACCGAGTGCCTTGCCTGCCACCTGCCAGCAGATGACATACAGTGTGTTTACCTGCCAGCAGATGACATACAGTGTGTTTACCTGCCAGCAGATGACATACAGTGTGTTTACCTGCTCGGTGTGGGCGGACAGATCTAGCTCCTGCAGCAGTGTGTAGAGATGCTGCACACAAGCCGGCTCCAAGTTCTTAATCAGCGACGGCAGCACGTCGTGCACCTGACGTCCGCAGTGCTTCAACTGCAACAAGAGAACGTCACTGTGCGTAGCCGTCGGCCATCCGAATGCACTGTCTGCAGATCGAACGTGCTGTCTACCTGCTTCTTCCCCTTTAATCAGCTAACACATGTCAACCAGTGCATCAGTAGGGCCAAACACCTACATCTTCTACATCGAATGAATTACGCTGATTAAACGCATATTTTTAATTGTTTTTGCATGGCCACTAGAAATTTTTTTTTTATATATTTTTAAACAGCTAAATATTGCTCCACTATAATTCATTATTGTTATACATTAATGCAGTTCACATGATTATTACATACAGCCACCCTCTGACACCCCATCAACTGCAGTACTCGATGACATACCCATGTCTACTGGCTTTACACAATGCCCATCCATCACCTGCAAGATTCGCTCCCTTATCTGCATCTGTTAGTGGAGGCGTTCAAGTCTCGAGATCCGAACACAGCCCACACTCGGTTCCCCTCTGAGAGGCGCGTGGTTTGTGAATCCATACAGCCCACACTTGTTTCCCCTCTGAGAGGCGCGCGGTTTGTGAATCCATACAGCCCACACTCGTTTCCCCTCTGAGAGGTGCACGGTTTGTGAATCCATACAGCCCACACTTGTTTCCCCTCTGAGAGGCACGCGGTTTGTGAATCCATACAGCTCACACTTGTTTCCCCTCTGAGAGGTGCGCGGTTTGTGAATCCATACAGCCCACACTTGTTTCCCCTCTGAGAGGCGCGCGGTTTGTGAATCCATACAGCCCACACTCGTTTCCCCTCTGAGAGGCGCGCGATTTGTGAATCCATACAGCCCACACTTGTTTCCCCTCTGAGAGGCGCACGGTTTGTGAACCACTACAGCTGTGTCGAGTGTCTTACCTGCGCGGCGGCCCAAACACAGTAGATGTGCTCCGGCGTGATGCGACCTTCAACAGCAAGGAAGTTCAACACGGCGTGGCTCTGCTTGATCAACTGCAAAGACAAGGAGACAAGCAATGGAAATACAAGTATGAATGTATCGGTGACGTCGTCAAAATGTGACGAAGAAGTGAGAGTACGGTAATAAAATGCTCGAGTACAGTTCGTTCAGTCCATGAACAAAATTCGTCAAGGTAAAAGGTTATTTTAGTATTTGTTTAACAAATGCTTCCAGTATGAACGTATCGGTGATGTTATCAAAATCATACGAAAAAGTGAGAGTACAGTGGTAATACAATGTGTGAGTAACACTTTGTTTAGTACATAAACAATATTTGTCAAGGGAAAAGGTCATTTTAGCATTCATTAAAGAAATGCTTCCAATGGCTCCACCTTGGACATAGATGAGTGAAAGTATGTGTGCATGCATATGCTTATACACATGCATGTCAGTCCGTGTGCGTGCGTGCGTGCGTGCGTGCATGCATGTGTGTTAGAGGTGAAAAAGTGGTTAGCCCCCTTTTGCTATGTCCGAATTATGTAATAAAATAATTCTGATAAGAATAAATACAATAAATGTATAGAAAGACATAAAATAGATACCTCGACGTGTAGATTTGGTCCAAAAAGATGTTCAATAATCTTGTTCTGTAGCAGCCACTGTGCAAGAGCATCTGCAGCTCTTGCTATGTGTAGATGTTGCTTGCCGGCATACCTGTTTAGAATTAAATGTTACACAGTGATGCATACATGTGAGAAATGCAGCTTTTATTGAGGGGATCTATATCCATATAACATTAGTAAACAGTACACAACCTCTCAATATGCCATACCGTTGTATAATATATACTCAATATGTCATATTCGTTATTTTCAAGTCAAGAAATTTATTATTTTTAATTCTCAAGTTTTCTTGCATAAAAGATGACCGACACTGACTACATGTTAAACCAATAAGACAACTGACATCGGGTTAGTGTTACACTCACTGCTCATTCTCTACAGTGTCACTCTGGCAGATCTCATTGATGTAATTCTGAAAGAAAATCGAAGTGACAGAGCTCAAACCACAACAAGTTACAGCTAGTATTCTAACAAACCACTCCACTATAACTGTCCCATTAATCTCTTGAATGCACAATGAACCACAAAATTTACTCTGAAATACACTTGCCTCATATCTCAAGCGGCTTTCATCTATTTTTTTCTTTTTTTGCATTATCACAACTCGCACACAATGTTAATACATTTATCTACATCTAAACAATGACGCTGTCATGTCAATCCAGCGGACAAATACAAGCCATCATGTTGCATTTTGATGAGAAAGGCACAATAACTAGTCATACTCTATTTCTCATTCTGAGCATAAGCTTATCATACCGATGTTCAGAATCAGAGAGGATACTAAAAACATTCTTGGTTCTCGCATTTCAATCTGTAGCTAGGCACTAAGCAGTTTCCCTGTTGACACACCAATACGTACGTTCATCTGCGCAATACCAGCGAGCCTAAGCGTCAGAGTGGATGAAGTGAAGAACTTGTAAGCCAAGGTGAGTCCCTCCTTGTCAAAGCTCACAGGTCCATCGCCCAACTCCTTCACTGCAGTCCACATGAGGTCAGCCATGTTTCTGGTACCCGCCAGCCGCAGATCATTGTCCGATAGCTTGCACATGTACCTGAAGAATTAACACCTAATTATACACATGCTACATAATTGTAATGACTCCAAATAATTGTAATAATTACACATTTTGTAATAATGTATGATTGTAATGTGTTGTGATCATTGTTCACGCCAAGATAGTCCCTGTACACACAACTCGTGATTAACATTTCTAACGAACTATCGCATAAAATTGATCTGGAAGTCTTACCTTATTACATTGGTCCTTAATGGCATAATACCTTGAAGGACAGCTGGAATGTTCATCCATAGGCGCAACTGCATAAATAAGAATAAGTCACAAAAATATTGAGCACTGTCAGACATAATTTCGTTGGAAACCTCCTTTGGTAATACATTATCCGATAGTAACCTTTTTAATATTACGATCCAGTTCATCATATTTCATCTAAAGCCTTGGCAAGTTGATCGACTATACTGAATACGTTCCAAATCGAAATAAATACCCAGTAAACCATTACAAACACAAAGAAGCAATAGAGTTTTTCCTAATATTGCCCAGTTTGAAGATGGCTGCAACACAGATTATTGCATAGAGTATTTTCGCACTCAAGCAGTATAACACAAACGCTAGGCAGCAGACTTGCTTCTGCTCTACAGTCCTGAGGGAACACACAATTTGGAAACACGACATGCATCTCTACAATCGGGATAGTTTTGCACACACAACTGAGGCTCCGTGGCCTGTCATTACTGCGAGTTACGTGTGAACAAACAATCACCTGAGGGGCAAAGATTTTTTTTTCAACAGCAAGGCAATGCCATGCACAGGGGGTATGTAACGAGACATCAACGTCGAGAGCTTACGTTGGCGACGATCGTAATAAGCGAGTAGGCGAGGTGGAATGGAAAGAAAGCCGGGTCGGCAAACTTGTAGCAGCGGCTCATGGCACGCAGACCACCCTCCTCGCAGAAGAACACGACATTCTTCACGAGAAAGACGGGAACTTCTGGCTCCTGCAAACACAAGCAATCATTAGCGGGTCGCAGGCCTAGCGATCATCCGGGTTACGAGAGCATTAGCTGATCGGCAGAGTAGAGTGCTGCTGCATTTAAGCACCGTTGCCGACTCCTTGACACTTTTAACTTGCTCATCGCTGATCAATTTCTACATTATTTCTAAGTTGAGTATATACCATTCAAGTTCTGCAGGATCTCTCTCTCTCTCTCTCTTGCTCTCTTCTCGTTCTTTCTCACTTGCTACTCTGTCCTCCACGCCTAGTTTAATTCCATCCCTTCTCTCTCTCCTTCTCACTCTCTTTCCCTCTCTCTCTTTCTCACTCTCTCTTTCTCTCTCTCTCTCTCTCTCTCCCCACTCTCCCTAGATCGATCTTAATGTATATATGCGGGGACAGGGGCGCACTCGTCATACCTCGACGCCGGAGTGGCCGTGCTTGAATGCGACATAGAGCGGGAAGTTGAGCAGGAAGACGCGCGAGATCGTGTGGAAGAGCCGCTCGCGCTCCTCGAGCGACCAGTGTGCCTTCAGCGCCGGGAAGCCACCGTTAATGATCTCCAGCTCGGCGTCCATCTCAAACGAGTCGCTCTGCGGGTCGTGCGCCGACGCCGGCGCCCCCTTCTTCTCCGCCGGCGGCGGCGGCAGCGCGGGAGACGCGGTGTCGCCGAGCGGCCGCCCGCTGCTCTCGCCCGCGGCATCCGTCGTCGTGACGACGCCCTCGTCGTCCGACACTCGCGTCCGCTTCGTCGGCGGGTCGTACGATTGGTCGACGGAGGTTTCGGCGGCAGCAGCGGCGGCGTCCCTCGCTCGGTCGTCGCTCACAGCGTCTTTCTGTTTGGCATCTTGTGCGGAGCTCCTCTGACCTGCACCAGCTGTCGTAGGCACGCACACACGCGAGTGCGTAGAGCAAATTTACAGTGGTAAGCCTGAATATTCCTGATTTTACACCGTACATGCATCATTTCCAAACGTTTTGACTAGGTGAATGCTTTTTTTTATACGTATATGGATATATATATATATAACTTCACATTTGCTTTAACATGCTGGCTTAAAACGTGGGAAATTGAAATTCAAAAGTGCAACTTTTGCCACAGCCACCAGAGGCAGCACTTGCTATGGCACTGCCGATAACAAATAGCGATTTTAAAAGCAGATTTTGAATTATTTCTTATAGATAGTAACCATTAAAAATAAATATGTAGCATAAATAAACCAGAATTTAATTGCAAATAATGCAGAAGGGTGGGATATTCTTCTTTTAGTCCATATATATATATAACTATATATATAAATATATATTAGTCCAATATTAATAGCTAATGGAAATTTAAAGCTGTGTATGCAAGCACACCAGACACAAAACTTATGATCTATCATAATACATATTGGTATAGTCTTCCCATGAGATGTGATGGTGTCTACACTGGGTTGCAAATGTCAAAATTTTTTACACAGGCGAGAACCGACAAAATACAGGGAAACTGTGTTTTCTATGGCTTTATAGGTTGCATAAGCGTGGGACGTTTCCGATTTCCCGTTTGAAGAAAAGGATTCCGAGAAAATATAAATCTGCATTTACACTCCCAGAGATTCGCGCTGCCACACGTGACGTCGTGCGACGCCGTGTGAGTGAATATGTTGCTCATTCCTACCTGCCACATCTTGCTTTTCTGCAGAGGTCGCCGCTTGAGAATTCTCGCCGTCCTTGGGGCTGGGGCTCAGTCGCTCGATGAATTTGATCGTGACGAGAAGGCAGTGCTGAACGACACCCTGGAATCTCTCCAGAGTTTTTCCATCTTTGCAGCAGCACAGACACTGCCTAAAGGACATATGTGGGTTAGACCGCAGACGTAATCAAACTAGATGTTAAGTGAAAGCTATGAATTTGGGACTAATAAACACACTATAATATCACCTGCTAAAAAATATCACCCCGTGCATAAATGGCAATGTCATCAAGAAATACATCTTGTAGAACCAGTTGAGCAAAGAAGATAGGGTTACCAGGGCTCCATCTGGGTGTTTTAAAGTTTAAGCCTAGACTTCAGCCACCAAAGTGAGTTTTTAGCCACCCATGAAAAACTATAGCTACTGTTCACTTTATCGTATGTGCTAAGCAAGGCATAAACAGGTGATGGGTATGGGAAAGGAGGTGTACAAAAACATTTTACAACACAACACTCCAATATGACGATTTCATTATTCAAACGTAATTTTGTGTGCAGTTAAACAATTCGCCATTTGTATTCGCCACTTAATGTAGTGAAATCACCACCGTTATTTATTGGTCGCATTTTGCGAAGGCAGCGAACGCCAGCAGTAGCCCTGGTTACGATGCATGATTTAGCACAGATCACAAAAGAAACTAAATATGTGCCACTCTGCTAAAGTCTTTGCTTGGTGGTAAATTTTACTACGATGTCCTGTGCTGATTAAACTTACCTCGGTGGCCAGCTCTGTATGTAGTTAACAGCTGCAATGACTTCATCCTTAGTCAATTCTAGCTCCAGTGACTCAGCAACTCTGTCATCATCTGAAAGATGGGAATGCTACCTAGTACCTACGTATTTACAGTACAGATGTGAATTTCCTCGGGGTATAAAGACCCGGATCCGGTTGTCAGAAACATCGCAAACATTTATGGCATCATAAGTATAAAATGTAATCAAAAAACTTACCGACACTTACTGTTATTGCTTGAGTAGCAGCAACTGTCTAGAGTAAGGTTATCTGGCTATTTCCGATTACTCTTTTTGATTACCACCCTCATTTCTCACAAATCTCGGACATCCCGAGATATCGGCCATTTCAGAATTGAAACAAAGTCAATTACACAGAATCAGATGCCTTTTCATTTGAATTACGTGCAGAATGGGTGCACTTGTAACTTGTTGGTGGACTACGGTGCCATTTACAAATTTATTGTCGCTATGCCTATAGTATAATCAAATATGCCATGGTGTTTAATTTTCAATGCTATAACAGCATAATTTCGTAGTGTTTTTCAAGTTGGATTAATCAGTAATATATCTTTTATTACTATTAGGTGAGACTATATTTAGCTATGTTTTTTTAGATTGTGCATATTGGAGCAATGATTTCGAAATAAATCCTTTGATATCTATTTATCCCTCACATACTATAATAAATAAATTGACTCAAGACACAGTCCTCACTCTATATCACAGTAACAACACCAAACTGACTCAGTCAGTGCCCACTGCCTACACTGGCTACAATGGTAAAAAATCGGCTTTTTTTCCTAACCATGCTCTCTATCCTTGAGCCGTACATCACTAGGCCACACATACAGTCATACATGGATGATGGTACCCTCACTCAGTACTACATCAGTACATGGACCTCGGTAGCACTGTTGGTTGACATACAGACCATATTAAATATGATAATGCGTCCCATACAGTGATGAGTGATCACAAAAGAGTCGATGATGCAAGTGGGGACAGAGCTGAAGTACTTGTTCTAACCACCAAGCACGACAAGTTGTACACGACACGTAGAGGTGCACTGGTTTACATACGGTGAACTTAGATTATCTACGATCAATACCACTTATATTCAACTTACATGAATCTAATATTTCAAGAAACTCTGCACACAAATCACACATCTTCAGCCTATCATATAGGCAAGCCTTGCAAACGATTCGACCGTTTCGAGCGCAGAAATGTATATTTGTTTACGTTCATTCAAACTCAACATAAAGATTTTTCGCCATGTTTCTTAGCGTGACGTCACGATGAAAATGCGGTGCCGTGAGGTTGGAATTTTCTATAAATTCGCATTAGATGGCGCAACGAGCACAACCGAGAACAATGCTTATAGCATGTATCATGTATATAATCAGGAGTGAATAATAGAGACTCTCTATTATTCACTCCTGATATAATGTTTTCAGCTTAGCATGAACACGCATACACGCGCGCGCGCACACGCGCGCACGCACACACGCACACGCACGCACTCACACACTCAATACAGTATCCGCGCCCTAACCCTGTAGGGCCTACATTGGTATGGCAACGGACCTTCGGCGGAGCATTGCCACCACATTGAAATTTGAAGGAGCGAGGGTGCATTTATCGATGCACACTTTCTCTAGGCATGCCGCCCTCTAAATGCTTAACGTCGGCCCTAAAGCACACAGCACACTTCACCATTTTCGTTGCTCGTACAGGCAATTTTCGTTGTCGGCAATTTTTGTGACCTTTGCCGCGTCACAGCACACGTCACCACTGTACTGTTGACGGCAATTTTTGTTGCTATAGATGTTGTAGCTTTAACTCATTCATATACAGTTATCAAATAAAGGAAATATATAAATTATAAATATAATATAAAAATATAAAAATATATAAATATATATAACGCGTTTGCGCGTGCGTGTGTGAGTGTATGCGCGTGTGCGTTTCAGCCTCCATGTGTGGAAGGAGTTCATGCTGCTCTAGATTGGATGGTCTCCGTTTTGGATACCCCGTCTACGTTGAGGAACGGGTCGTATTATGCGCTCCCGTTTGCAAGTCTAAAACTGCCGTTGCGCTAACCGTAGTATTTCAGCGTAATATGAGGGGAAAAAGTGCCGGTCAGGAAGACCGCGAGTTTCGTAGAGATGGTGGCCCAAGCAAAAAGGTGTGCTGGGCCTCCGGGTCGGAACTAATTTCTAACGCTGCCGGCGGCACGGGAGCGATTTTTTCTCGTATCTTCCAAAATTTTCGCTCTCGTAATTGTTGTTAACTTGTTACCAGAGCGCTTTGAAAGCTGACGGGAGCGAAATCGCTCGCCGCTCCCGTGTATGTTTTTCGCTAGTGCGTTTTGCGCGCGCGCGCGGTGTGTGTGTGTGTGTGTGTGTGTGTGTGTGTGTGTGTGTGTGTCGTGTGTGTGTGTGTGTGTGTGTGTGTGTGTGTGTGTGTGTGTGTGTGTTATATTTGTCGATTCTTGAATACCTAGATAGATCTTATCGTAATTAATAGGCTTTATTAACTGAACTCGGAGTCACCTTGATCAGCTGGCCTGTTTATAATCTAATATTTTTGTTTTTTAGGGGATGGCAAGAACTTTGATGACCTGCAGGGTCTTTCGCCACCCCAGTGAGCTATATCTATCACATTATGTATTGTGACCTTTCATTCTACATATGTATCGTTGTATACTGAATGTAAATACTCGTCTTATGCACAAATAAATTAATTTGAATCTTGAAATCTTGTGTGTGTGTGTGTTGTGTGGTGTGTTGTGGTGTGTGTGTGTGTGTGTGTGTGTGTGTGTGTGTGTGTGCGTGTGTGTGTGGGTGTGTATGTGACTGTATGTGTGCGTGTGCGTGCGTGTGCGTGTGCGTGTGTGAGGGAGAGAGAGATAGAGAGAGAAGATTGATACGAGAGAAGAGAGAGAGAGAGATACGGGAAAGACAGGAACAGAGAGAGACAGAGATACAGAGAGAGATGAGAGAGGAAAGAGAGAGAGAGAGAGAGAGAGAGGAAAGAAGAGTCAGAGAAGGAGAGAGAATGAGAGACGAGAGAGAGAGAGAGAGAGAGATGAGACGAGCAGAGAGAGAGAGAGACGAGAAGAGAGACGAGGCCGGTAG